ATCATCACATTCTTCCAATTGCCGCAGGCATACTCATAAAAATCATCACACGGTTCAACGCTTTGATTCATATACGTGAGCATTTTCTTCGCATACTCAACACGATATTCGCTTTCGATTTCGTTCAGTCCATTATCCGCTGCATTCACTGTAGACGCTTTTGTTGACACTCCTGTGTCATTATCCGCACTTAGAATGAGTTCTGTGTTTGGATGCTGTGAACTATCGTCCGCTGCCGTGGTGTTGACGACYATGACTTCGCTGGCTGTGTTTGTGGGCTTTGCAGTGCATGTCGCGAGCGCGCTTAACATTAGTAACTGGATGGGCAAAAATGAAAGCCCGAATATTTTCACTTTCATTGTATTTTTTTTTTACTTTCTTGCTTATGCATGGATTAAGTATATATACTATATAGTATATATATATTGATATTATTGCACAAATAAATAATCACTTTAGCATTGCATTAGCTCATTTGACAMCACATACTTGTTAAGCACTAACTTGAAATAATTCGCTCCGTCTGTGCGCGGAGTCACTTTCATACTGAGCGTACTTGTGTCGAAAATGAAATAGTTCAGATCGATCGTAAAGCACTTGCGCTCGGTATTATTTGCAGTTTGCGTCTCTCTAAGTCTCAAGCGCAGTAAGTACTCGTACCTAATCGTCAAACATTGTTCCTATGTTGCATACTTATTTATATTTATTTCACAGTGAAATCTCGTTTAATAAACCAATTGATCTTTTTGATTAGYAAGTGAGAGCTGTGAGTTGCTTAAATTTTATAAAAAATTTCCCATAGRAAGTATATGCTTATGTGCATACTTTCCATTTTCCGAATTTGAATTAAATAGCATTAAGAGGATGTTTTTGATGTTCTGGAWAGTTTCGCTTAATCAATCATAGCCACTGGAGTCGGAACGGTAAGCTGCATAAATATGAATCAAAATTCCCAGTAGAAACTACATCCTTAGACACTTCGAGATACTTTATGTTAAGTGGATGTTTTTGATGTTACGAAAGGTTTTAACTAAGAGCTCGAATGACGTTTGAAAAGTTAAATTGTAATAATATGTTTACATAAATTATATAAATTTTATGAATTATTAAATAAAAAACTAGTCCTTAACCTAACGAAAATCATGTCGGTCTTATTGTATCATCGTTGGTCACTGAAATGGATTTACCCTGTATATGTGTATGTATGTTTGACAAATTCCTATTCTTGATTGCACTTATCAACAAAGCAAACGTTTGTCATATGAAAATGAACTTGACCTGTAAGCGAATGCAATTTGCATTCAAAGTGATAACGGACCTACATATCATTTCGATGATCTTTTTGTGAACCAGAAKTTGAGAATGCTAGTTTTCATTCACGTTTACGATTACAGCATTGAGGTGAATAATACGTCAGACGTATTTAAAACAGTAGCGAAAAAAGCCGCCTAACGGTGTAATGTTTGAGTTTAGGTATCAAATTAACTGCAATTAAAACAGATTTATTTCTACGGGTTATCACTCAGTGGAAAAGAGAAGYTAAGAGAAGTATAGCTCACCATAAAATTGAGAGTCGAGCAACAGAAGGTGGCCTTTTTCTAAATAAACTCACTTAAAATGAATAAACTATTGTGTGTCGTTGCGGTATTTCGCAACCTGTAGAAGATATACCAGGCGTTTTTCTTGACACTCGACCCATCAATAGGAATTTAACTGTAGGAAGGGCTAAGTTCCTGTACAACCGAACATATTATACTCTTGGAACTTACAAGAATCAAGGCCACGAAAATACTTTAAGGTGTAAAACGCTGAACTGAGATTCAAAATCCAAGCAATACTATACAGTACACATGTACTATATAAATGTAAATCCTATACTGACAGGCAGATATGCTTCTTACTAGAAAATAATACAGTTTTTTGTAATTATCATGTCGAGCTCTTTTTTGTTAAGATATAGTTAATAATGAGTTTTGGAAACCTGCGATTCACGATTTTCAAT